TGGCAGAGTTCCTGGTGTCTATTACCATGGTGTGCTAGTGTGAGACAAGAAATCCGTGAAATCAGCCATTAGTCTAAACCCATGGAGCCAAAACACTTGGGATTAAGGCAGCGGGGAGCTTACAGAAAGGGCGGATTTAAGAGTGTGGCCGCTCTCCTCTCTCACAGCAAAGGAGGCGCTGCGGGCCAGACATCCCAGTTCACGCCACACGCCCTCCCATTTCAGAGTGTGATCCGTCATCCACAGAGGGAACTGCAAGACACATTAAATCTTTAAATCTTACATTATTAAAGTATTAAAATAAAATACTTTTTATTAAAATAAAAACATCACAATAATCTACAAGTAATCAACACCACTCCAGTCCATCAATTAATGTCTTGTGAAGTGAAAAGTGCATTGTCCAGTGAAAAAGCAATCTCGTCTGAATCAGGAGAGAAATATGCTCAGATAAAGCACCATTTACAAGTGAAAACAGTGCAAAACAAATATGTTGGTGGATTTTAATGCAAAAGAACAACAGAGAATGGACTTTTTCAGTGGTGAAAGCATTATGGTGGATTATGGACTCGCATTTTGGGTAAAAGCGATGGTTTAAAGTTAAAACACCTTAATGATGGATTTGTTTCTGACAAACACGCATCTTTTCACTTCAGTAGATGTTAATTGATGGACTGGAGTCATGTGGATTATTTGTGGATTATTGTGATGTTTTTATCAGCTGTTTGGACTCTCATTCTGACGGCACCCATTCACTGCAGAGGATCTATTGGTGAGCAAGTGATGTAATGACAAATCATTCCAAATCTGTTATGATGAAGAAACAAACTCATCTACATCCTGGATGGCCTGAGGGCGAGTACATTTTCAGCAACTTTCCTTTTTTTTTTTTAAATACATACTTGCATTTTAATACTTACATTAAGCTCTGTAGTAACTCCCCTGTCCGTCTCTTTTAGAGAGCTCCATGGGAACTGTCCAGTGACTTTGTACAGGTTTAGAGTGAAGCTACACAAAGCAAAGACATCAAGTTGTTTAATATCTATTCAACATCACTGTTATGTTTATAGTTAAAGCTGAAGGGTGTAATAGCATCTTAACATAGAAAATGATTACACACTTCGGTTTAATGTTTTTCACATTAAAAAATGTGAAAAAAACTCATATTAGGTGCGTATATGCATACTTGCGTTCATAATATCCCGACTGTGGTTTGAAGAAGGAAAGGCCATATGACGTCTCCTTAGTTCCATAGGAAAACTGAAAGGTGAGCTTCTCTCCTCGGCCAAACATGTTTGGAAGTTTAATGCCCAAGACCTTTAGAGGAACAAACACACAAATGCAGTAACACAATGACACATTATGCAGAAGCTACACATCAAAAATCTAAGATGGTGATAATAAAACAATACTCCATACAGACTGAAAATTATATTATAAATATTATTCATATTTACTATTATTATTCACATTAAATATTATTTTATTCATTTTCTTATTCGTAGTATGAATGGACATCTTATTTGAGATTAACAACATCTTAAACAGAGATGTTTTAGTATTAATTATATACTATTATATTACTATTTATTTATATTTTAAATGAGCTTTTATTCTTGTATTTCCAGTTTTCATTTTATTTTATTTGAACTTTTAGTAATTATGTTATGTGCTTTTGTTATGTATTTTATTATAATTTTTTTTATATTTCTACATGGCATTAATTTATTTTATTTCAGTTTTAGTCATCTTTGTGCTGCAACTTAAAATGATTTCAGTTGCAAAGCAACATGGCAGGGGTAGGCTGCAAAGCAATATATGTGTGTATTATGGTTCTTACCATACTGCCTTCATTGTTTCCAACCATGGTATTATAACTGCCAGTAAGTCGTTTAAGCTCAGTCACCTCAAATGTAACATCAAGTCCATTTGGCAGTGCCTCTGCTCCTAAAGAAGAGATCAGAAAGACATTGTACAAACAACACCGGAGCTGAATGTTAATGCATAATGGTCTTTCTATTAAGTTAAAAGAAAAATCTTGTAAATATATTTATTATGAAGCCAGGTTAAATTTCTAAACTTGTCTACTAATATATATATATATATATATATATATGCTAGAGATCTAATACTGACAATAAAAAGGTCGACCTTTAGACCCACTGGTCTACCTTTCTTTATAAGTATGTAAATGAGCTAATGTAGGTTAATACGCTACAGGCAGGGCTAGACAGCTGCTCAGTCTAGAAAAACTGGACACTTTCCATTGAACGGTCTATAACTGAATCAAGCATGAAGATGTTATGGATGTAGTACCTTCTGAAACATCAATCACCACCTCCACTTCTTTGAATATGCCTAGACGGAGCAATCTCTGTCTGGCCTCGTGGGATTTTCTCATCACCTGTGGAAACACTGAGCTTAATACCTCATTTCATAATTAGTGATCGACCAATAGGGGTTTCTGAATGGCTGATATCTATGAACAATATAAGGATGATATGTTTCATACAATTTAATGATCAATTATTTTACATTTATTCATTTAGCAGATGCTTTTATCCAAAGCAAAATTATATTCACATTTTATCCAAATTATAAAATGACAAAAAAATGTGCACTGTCCATTGAAAACTGTGTCACGAAATTTACGAGGTGTAATAAACCCTTCTGTTAATCAGCCAAACTGGATGACTTTGGTCTATCCCCACTCATAATAACTTAACTAGTCCAAACACTTTGACCTTGACAGCTCACTTACTTCAACCAGGTTCCTGGCAGTGAAGACATCAGAGATTTCATAGCCCAAGTAATCCTCTTTAGTTCTGCCCATCCCTTCAATGTTGACATGCTGTACAACAACCTAGATGAGAACAGTCAGAGATGTCATAGTGTGAGACTGCAGGTTTTGGACAACAGTAATACCAGTAATATTTAATAACAGTAATATTTTGGACATGTACCATACTATCATTGGAAGTACCTTGAAAAACTTTGCAAATACATGAATTTAAGTACTGGAAAATACTATGGTATTACCATCAGATACTATTAATATTTTATGGTACTTTTTGTAAGGATGCTACAGTCTGATCTGAAAAATGGCATGAAATATATATTCATGTTCACCAATTCATGTACCATGACATTTACATGGTATAACCATGATATGAACATGGCATTGTAGTTCCATTGTATCAGGATAAAATGATTTTAAAAAGAAGTCTGTAGCAGTTTAACACAACTTACATCTTTGTTTTCTAAAACCTCTTGTTTAGTTTCTTGCACCGCCTCCATCACTTCCAAATCATCTGGGTTGACGCCCAGGTCTCGCCCATGCATGGGGTAAGAATCCACACTCTACAAAACAAACAGGACCAGTTTTATTATTTTGCAGACATATATAGCCATATCCGGTGGCACGTGCACAAAGACGCATTGGATAGCTTTCTTTAATACAATAACACGCAAAGCAAGCAATAAAGCAGCACAGTAATTCTGAACACAAGAGGTCACAGACAAAACAAGCATATTTCACCTCGAATCTTTAAGAAAACATTTACCCGTGCGTGCACAGTCCCCATTGCTAGTGCAATAAAATCCTACACTTATTGAAGCCGCTCAGCTGATCGTGGGAGTGTAAAATATCGCACTATTATGAAGCAGCGCACCCAGCCCCCTTCAAGGAGGACGCCATGACACGCAAATGATTGGCGAACCAGGACGGCGATTGGCTAGGATGATGTGACGTCATACAGAGTGGGCGGGTCCTTGTTGTGTGCGCCGCTGTACGTGCCTTGGCGTTGCTCGCGTTCTCGCATTTAACTTTTGTGTTGTGCCCAGCCGGCATACTCGGCGTTTTAGACACAGGATTTACTTGTGAAAAAGACAGGTGTGGAAGTTAAGAACTATGTATGGAGAGCGTCTTTTAGACCCTCAGAGACAGTTATGTCACAGCTAGGAGGACTCCGTCAATTTGTCTGTCTGTTTTGTAAACCCGTTATCATAGACAGGTGTTTCAAGATTTGCTGATAATTCGTCAAAGATTTCGTTTTGGTGTACTCGGATCACGTACAAATGATTATTTCTCACTTTAAAAGGCATATTGGTATTACCAGGTTTTTTTGCGTATGTTTTGTGTTACTTTAATTTTTTAAGGTATTACCTTGGTATACCAAAGTAACGTACATGCTAATCATTAAGTACCGTGGTATATACAAGGCTTCTATAGTCATGGAAAACCTGGAATTATCAGGGAATTTGCGATTTACAGGTCTGGAAAAATAATGTAATTAGTTTAATCTAATCTTTAATCATTAATATAATCTAATTGTTACGTCACAGAAATGTCTAATGAGAAAATATTTGTTTTTGTTTTTTTTATTAACTCTAGAAATTGATCTTTTCGAATGCTAAATGCAATCTCTATACAATTATAATTTTAATATCAATATCGTTATCCATTAAATTACCATGTCACAACCACAGTGCTTTTTGTAATGATGTCCCTCCATTTCTCCGACAGAGGGCAGTATAACATCTCTAGTGATTGGTATTTTTATTAATTAACATTATTTGAAGTCGCTCCTTTTACAGAAGCAAAGTAGTGAGAACCTTTCTTGAACTAAAAACTATAACCTTTATCATGATTAGGTTAATCCAAACTGAGAAGCACTTTCAGTAGGCCTATTTTTACATGTCAATTTAACATTTAATAGCAAATGATTTCTGGGAAATGCTATATCAGGAACGTTTGTTTTTAGTGTTACACCTTATTGATTCAGCAAGCTGTCAGTCACAGATGCGCAATTTAAACACAATTTGACTCTTGTCAGGAATTAAACGCACCAAAGCAGAAATGTGAATTATTGCAGTCTTTTTAGAAATTTAGATTCAGTCTAGATTTTATATAATGACATCATGTGTGTGTTGCCTTAGAGTACTAATTTACCTTCCTTTTTTTTTTTTTTTTTACCTTTTTTATTGCTTAAACGCACAGCTGGAGACGTCCATTCACTCACAGCCTTTAACCATGGGTCCTGCCTGCTTGTCCTGGGACGTCTGTTTGCTTTTCCTCCTTATAAACACTTTAGATGTCACGGGAAATGTTGGAGTCGCAGGTAAGTGTTCCTCTGTCTTTTCCTGTATCTTTCACATCATTTATTTGGTGAAACTTTTAACGCCTGAAATAGGCGAAGTCATTGGTCGCATGTTTTTTTGCACATGATTTCCATGTAATTGCAATACATTATTTAGCCCATTATTAAGCCTGAAATTGCATTCATCTAGAATAATAATTTAGTCATACTTTATTTAAAAAATGTCCCTCTCGTTCCTGACATAACTGGAAATATATACAGAATAAGGTATATGCGTACATGAACGCGTCCGTCTTGGTTAGCGCGCAGTTTTTTCGCGTGATATTCCTTAAGGAGAGCTTTTCCCGGGGTCTCTTCGGACTCCCATGGGGTCTATAGGAACATGAGCCACCCTGATGGGTCGGTTCGGGGGGCTTATCGACCCCTCACTCCTCCACTACCATCAATACGCATTGTGTCTCTCCATAATGAATGCCTGGAAAAGTCAATAATGAGACAAACAATAAAAACAAATTGTCTGTTCTTTTTAACCACGACACTACTGAAGATTTTATGATCATTTATATTTTCATGTGTGTATTTTAGATCGAACACATGCTTCTGCAAATAAACGGAGAGATGAATAGCCTAACTCATCTCCAAATGTTATGACTATTGCACATAGTCGACTTTTGGCTTTTTATGTTTTGAAGCTTTTCAATTAGACATTATTTGATGAGATTAAGTTATGAAATGCACAAACAGAACTTTTTTCTCTATCCATGTGTATTTATGGTTTGGATGTTGGATAAAAGCGCACCGTTGCGCAAAAGGTGCTCAGTTTGCGTAAGGTTTTAAGAAACACTCGATTTAGATCTTACAAATGATGAACAGCCAGAGAAGAGGTTGAAGGTTGTGTGGCACTGGTGAGGCTACACGTCAATATCCAACCATATGAGCTTTCCAGTTGTCTGCTCAATTATTTATTAATTCGTTAATTCAGTCAGTCAGTCAGTCAGTCATGCATTCATTCATTCACTTCTGTATTTGGAGCATGAGTGAGCATAATTTCTGCTTTTTAGGTGAATCAATATATCACTTTATTGGACACTCTATTGTTTTTTCTTTCAATTATTTATTAATTCGTTAATTCAGTCAGTCAGTCAGTCAGTCAGTCAGTCAGTCATGCATTCATTCATTCACATCTGTATTTGGAGCATGAGTGAGCATAATTTCTGCTTTTTAGGTGAATCAATATATCACTTTATTGGACACTCTATTGTTTTTTCTTGGCTGAAAAGCTAAATGTCTTCTTTCCAGACTGCTCTTGTCCTGTCTGAGTAGATTTGGTCATTTTTGTTATTTTCTGTTCTGTTCAGCTTCACCTGTCTAAACCAGCAGTAATATCCTCATAAGAAAAACAATCTGCTCTCAGATCAGTGACAGAGAGTAACCTTTACCACCCCCCCCAGAGACACATAAAAACATTGATTTTTGTAAAACACAATGTTTATTTAATTCAGTTTGACTAGTTCATCTTTGGGTAGATTGATGTGCACTTATGTGCTACACTTAGGTGTTTCTGGAAGTCATTCTTGCTCTTCTGTTTGAACGTGTTTGGTTTGTAAAAGATATGAATGAACAAAGATTTAAAAGATTATCTAATTTAAATAGAAAGGTTGTAATGTTTTTAGAAACTGACGTTTAGCTCATATCTTTCTAGCTGCCTGAAAATGTTGTTATCTATTAAACCAAAAAAGTGGCACTTTCTGTGATGCTATCGTAACACTATAATCTTTTCAGATCTGGGATGTGTAACACGCATTTAGCTAAATCTTATCCCATGTGATTACTCCACAGATGCTGATGAGTGCTCCGAATCCACAGACGACTGTCACATCGACGCTCTCTGCCAGAACACTCCAAAGTCCTTCAAGTGCATCTGCAAGACTGGTTACAGGGGAGATGGCAAGCACTGCGAAGGTGAGGAAGACAGATCTCTCTCCCTCTGTTTCGCTCATTCTGTCCCTGTCTGCCTGTCTCTCGCTGTCTCTCACACACACTCTCGGTCAGGTCATCCAGCTGTTCTCTAGCTCCTGCTGTGGGTCTTAATTAGTGAGGAGGAAGTGCAGTGTGAGGGTGAGAGGTGCTGGAAGGGCAAAACCTGCTCCAGTCTTTACACCACCCTCTCCCGTTCTGCTTGAGAGCACAGCACAGCTGGAGCCAACACACACACACTCACTGAAACACACATAGACAAATGAACATCACATCACTTCTGTATGCACTCACATAGATCTATTAAGCAGGTAATGGACATGCATACTCAGATAAATGTTGGAAGAAAGTTCTGAAAAGATCTCAACCTGCGCTCATATTTTCCTAGATGCCAATCTCAGAGATCTCAGTTACATTTAATTTATGTATGACCATTGTCCAGATTCTAAAACACCTTAATTGCATAACTATATTGACTATAAATTAGAAAAGAAAAATCACAAATAAGATCTCCTTAAAGTAATTGTTCACGCAAACATAAAAATTTGCTGAGAATGTCTCACAAAAATGATATACATACTTTTTTTTTCAAGTATAGATTGGCATTATGTTACAAAAATTGACATTATATTACAAAAAATATTTTTCTTTAAAAATTATAGATTGGCTCATATTAAAAAAAAAAGTTGATATACAATATATGTTTTCTCTAAATTAATATTTTTTCATTAAATTATAGATCGGCATGGTATTACAACATATATATATGTGTGTGTGTGTGTGTGTGTGTGTGTGTATATATTAAATTATTATTATTGTTATTTTCTATATTTTCAACTCTATTATACAATATATTATACAATATAAATAATTATGTTTTATACTTTATTTCATAATTTAGTACCCATAATTTCACAGTTTTGTTTCCTGGCCGAGCAGGTACATGGATAACAATGATTGATAATTGCAAGAAAAATTCCAACAGTGATGTAATTTTGCCTTTCAAGAATATTTCATTACCCAAATCAGAATTTGTTTTATAGACCCAGGTTAAGTGAACCCAGATACAATTTCTATTCAAAGACATGTTCTTGAATTCATCCAGTTGTCCAACCGTGCACACACTTCTCTGACTTACAGTTGGTGCGATTGAGGGTACATCGGCGTAAATTAGTTTGTGAGTATCAGAGAGGTGGACTGAACATGATGGACACTTTTACAGCAGACGAACAGTTTGGTTACTCTCTCTCCGCTGTTTCCTGTTATTGTACTCTGTGCTCTTCATCTGTGGATTGTTCGTTTTGCATCTCTCTCCCTGTTTCACCCACATGTGTGGAGCTTGTGTTTCAGGAAAAGCATGAAATGTGCTCTCTAACTATTATGACACCTGACACCCAATCTCAATTGCATTAATGAATTAGGTGGATGTGAAATGGCATTGCACCAGACTGCTCCTCAGTTAGCGCTTGATACTCCTGTCTGATGCCAGACAGCGTGGGCTAGAACAACATCTTTTTATTTCTCTAAGGAAACACGGGGAATGTTCTGTACTTTACAGAAGCCTTTTCCTCCCACTTTTAAACCGCAGTCTATGGTTGCAGGGCAATGAGGCTGTCAGTTATGTTGAATCCAACCAGGCTGCTTTGCTCTTAGCATGTTAACTATGTATGCGTCTCCTCTATTTTTTGGCTCTTATACTGTCTGAGCGGACATTCCGTCCACAGTGCAATGTGGTGTATTGTGGGAAGTGGGGGGGGGGGCTGTTTTGTCTGAAGAAAAAGCCTATTAACACCCCCCATACCCACCCTTTAATTAAAGCCCTGTATTTTTGGCTTTGAAGAAAATTAAGAAAACACTTGCTAACACTCTAATGCAGTCATTTTGTCTTTCTACACATCAGTGCATTTGTAGCCAGTTGCATGCTGGTGAAGTCTGTTGAGCATGAAGAGATTCATAACCCATCTCTTTAATATCTTAAGTTTCTCGTTTACAACAAAGAGGCTAAATGGAGACGGAAGTCTCCTGTTTTTTTTTTTTTTTAAGATGTTTCTCCTGAGAAAAGATTGATGTGTTGCAGAAAATCTCTCAACCTGTGCTCATATTTACCAAGATGCCAATCCAGAGTACATTTGTATTGTTCAGGGGTTGCTCTTTTAAATCTCAGGCAATCTCCACTATGTTTCATTTATGTATGACTCTTGTATCAGATGTTTCTCCTTAAAAACCTACAGACTATTCATTAGAAAAGAAAAATCACAAATAAGATCTCATTAAAGGAATAGTTCCCTCAAAAATGAAATTTGGCTGAAAATATCACCCTCACCCTCAGGCCATCCAAGATATGGATGAGTTTGTTTCTTTGACAGTTTGAAGTTAAAAACGGTTTAAAGATGGAAGTGTTGCTTAGAAACACACACATTTTTGCTGCACAAGATGTTAATTGATGGACTGGAGTCATGTGGATTACTTGTGGATTATTGTGAAGTTTTTATCAGCTGTTTGGACTCTCATTCTGACGGCACCCATTTACTGCAGAGCATCCATTGGTGAGCAAGTGATGTAATGCTAAATTTCTCCAAATCTGTTCTGATGAAGAAACACATCCATCTACATCTTGGATGACCTGAAGGTGTGTAAATTTTATAGTTTCTATATAACTATATAGTTTATAGTTATTTTATAGAATTTTATCTTCTATACACCAATGAGGTTCATTGGAGATCAGATGGAGTATCCTGATTGCCAATAAGATCAATTTATAACATGGTTTTTAGTAATTCCAAATAAATATTCCTTTCGATGGTGAGAGGTTTTTGAGGTGTTTTGAAGTTCATCTGCTTGTAATTGTAAGTGTTGGAACTGTTACTTCTCTGTATTATCATGAATTATGCCATGACTTTCAGCGATGAAAGATTTGGATTCTGATTGTTCCAGAAACAAAGCCGATGAAACGGGAACAGAAGAATGTGTATTTGCTTGTTTCTGTCAGCGTAAAGTCAAGTGATATATAAGCTGTGATTTGTAAACCTGCTTTACTTTATGCATCTGATGGTATTTCCTACATTAGATGCCATAATGCCATTAAAATGCTCTTACAGCAGAAGTGTGTCTTTTTCCAGTGTTAAAATACTTTTTGCTATCCAGCTTAATATTCAGAGACAACTATAAGTAAGCCATTTGTAGGTTGATTCCCCTGAAAAATGTAAACACTGTAGCTCTGAGGTGCTATCAAAACATTGCTCTGTTTGTTTGAGCATCCCAACCAGCATGACACAGCAACATTGGCTCAACCAATGGCATGAGTTGTGGGCGGGACTATCAGAAATTACACGCATTACATGCTTTGAAGTCAAAAGGGAGATATAACATGCAATGAGGTAGTTGTGACATACCGCTTCCTTCCTTACCCTTTTGGGTGTTGTTGATTGTGTAAATTGATTAATTGATGAGATTCATCAGTGGGTGGAGCTCACAAGGGAATCCACACAGATCACAAATCCCCCATGATGCCAGGGTTTATTTGCAGGGGTGGAGTGATAAAACAAAGCCTTAACATGACTCAGCATTAGGTCAGTGAGTTTACCTGGGAGAGAATTGTCTTGTCTGCCTTCGCTCTTTTTCGCTTTCTTTCTATTTATTTTTTATCTCTGTCTGTGAAAGAGGTCAGGTAATTGTCGCCGCTGAAGAAGCTCCCTAGTCTCTGAGACGGAGTGTGTGTGTAGTTGTGTTTCTGGATGTGTGTTTGTATGTTTCAATGAGAAAATTATAGAAAAGGGGATGGGGGGTGGTGAGGAGGAGACAGATAAATGGAATGAGAGATGGAGGTGTCTGCCCATTACTAGGCCATTGTCTGCCTGGTGTCTGCGGACTCGTCACAGAGCTGCCGATGCTCTGATTGGCTGTCTGAGGGTGTCATCCCTGACCCTCCCCTCACAGGACACTTCAGTCTCTTTGCTGCTTTATGTGCCACCATACACACACACACACACACACACACACACACACTAAAAAGTTTAAAATCGTCATATAGTTGACATGAAATTCCAAGCAGTGGTATGTAGAGCGACATGCTATAATTCATCTCAAACTTTTTTTACCCAGCATTTTAAATTCTTTTGTAAGTATTATTATACTCTACTATTTGGACAGTAACATATTTAAAGAAATTAATACTTTTATTCAGCAAGGATTCATTAAACTATCAGTAAAGACATGTATTATGTTACAAAAGATTTCTATTTAAAAAAATACTTTATATTCATAAAATAATCCTGAAAGAAATTTATATCATAGTTGCCATAAAAATATTAAGCAGCACAACTGTTTTCAACATTGATAATAATAAGAGATGTTTCTTGAGCAGCAAATCAGCATATTATAATGATTTCTGGTGAATCAAGGATCATGTGAGACTGAAGACTGGAGTAATGATGCTGATCAGCTTTGCATCACAGGATTTTAAATGTAAAAATATATTAAAATAGAAAACAATTGGAATAATTTCACAATATTACTGTTTTTACTATATTTTTGAGCAAGACTTCTTTCAAAAACATTAAATATATTAACAAACACAAGCTTTTGATCAGTAGTGTACGTGCACTTTTTATGGTATTGAATTAATTGAGAGACTACATGCAGCATTTGTACTTTAAGAAAATACTTTGCATCGTAGGACCATTGAAAATGAAGTAGTGATTAAAAATGATCAGTTACAGGACCTGAGAGAAACACTTCCTCTTATACAGTACACATGTAGAGTTAAACCTTAAATGAGTAGAGTTTAAGGGGTCATATGATGTTGCTAAAAAGAACATTATTTGGTGTAATGAAATGTGTTTATGCGGTTTTGTCACAAAGCAACAGGTAAGTGCAAATCAGGATGGTTTATTGACTGGGTAAGGGGATGACAGATTCAAAAAACACATTCTTTTCCACATACTGTACGTTAATGTTTCTCCTCTATGCCCCGCCTTTCTGAAACGCATTGATTTTTACAAAGCTCATCGGTCTG